TGTTGTTGTTGAGCTACGTGTTATGTAAACTCTGAGCTGTTATGTTGGGTAGATTTTAATGCAGGTTATGGTTGTGGCGGTTCAGTTGGAGGTGGTAGGAGTACTCGTATTTCAGTTGTACTTGTCATTCTCTTCTTTTCCGAGGCTTCTTGGAGATTTGTCAGATAGCTGTTTCCATCGCAGCAGACTTTCTTCTCCTTAATTATGATCTTGTTCTATTCTAGAAACAAGTTCATTTGAGACTTGAGTTTTCTTTTGAATCAATTGTAATACTTTAGAGGCTTGTACACGTGACTACCAGGTTTTGGGGGTTTTATTAAGCTACTTATATTTTACTTCCGCACTTTATTGTAATGGTTGAGTTTTAGGCTGACTTGTCTTGGTGGGATAAGACGAGTGTCATCACGCCCATTTTTGGATCGTGACATATTATTATTATTACTATTATTATTATTTTATTCATTTTATCTTTTTTTAATATCTAGTAATCATATTTTATCATTTAATACTTCTATATACTCCATTCAACTTATTTATCTCGTAGACTCATGCTATAAATTATTAATATTAACAGTTTATTACGATGAAAAATGACATATTTATTCAAATATATCCATCGAAATGATTTAATATTATATATACTATATAATATGATGTACTATGATCAAATTATATATAATAATGATCCAAACAAAATATTGAAAAAATCGATACACGTTATGCTACATGTGTATACGTTCCAGATCCAAGTGATAGTATCAATCATTCAAAGTGGCAATAGAATCATGGTTTATTTAAACTTGACTTGTCCACTGATTTGACATGGATGTAGGACAATCAAAAAATTTTATAATCAATATACATTTTTGATGTATATTATTATTATAAATGCATTAGCCTAAGAGGTTGTACATTCTACGAGGTGGATGCATGTGAATGTATTATTAACAAACATTCGTCAAAATTTCATCACGTTTATCGCCAGACATAGCAAGAATCTTGCAGAAGATAGCAATAATTTATCTATACCAAAATTTTAAAAAATTGAAAGTGACCAAAAAAAAAAAAAGTTTAGCATATCTCTGAATTAGAAATTAAATATAATAGATTTGCAGACACGTCGTAATTAAAGAAAAAATAAAAGTTTGCTTCATGTTATATGCCACAATTAATTAGGACTTTGGCAGATAATCTCATAATAAAGACTTAAACCAGACTCAAAATCAATTAACTGATCAGCTCATAGATTAGGTGAACTTAAACATATATTAAATTAGTTAGAGAAGTAGTTTCATTATTCATTAGAAAAAAGTCAAATAAAATCAACTAAATCACTGTTATTATATTGCTCATTGTTCAAAGTGCTACTAGTTTTTGACCTGCTTCTGTTTTGCTTAATTTAATATTTATCTCCTGTTTGTTTGTTTGTTTGAGTAAAATTAAGTGTTACTTTGACAAAATTATGTCTATTTATAAATCAATTTGTAGTTTACTTAATTATCTTATTTAATAACGGTCTCTTAAAAATTGAATACCATTAAGAATACGTAGTATAATTATTAGAAAATACCTATTAATTTTTGTCTTGAATTTGTAAAGTGACATTTATTTTGAAACAGAAGAAATATATAAAATAAATTCTCTATTATTTAGTCAAAATTATTTAATTCTATCGGTCCGTCCTGCGAAAAGGGCAAGTATAGTTACCCACTCAAATATCTTTTAAATTCAACAACTTCATTTCCCTTGTGCTGCTTTTTCTCCTTAGTATTATAAGTACTTACTTATAAGAAGATAAATCAAAGCTAAGAGGTTATTTGAGAGAAGAATATGGCAGAAAAATTAGTGCATAAATCATGGATAATTCAATATAATTTGCATTCTGTTTTAGGATTCCTCCTCTTGTTCTTTCTTTTTGTGTCTTTTTATCTTATAGGAGATAATAGTGATGGTGTTAATTTTCTGGCAATTAATAAGTCTACAAGGAAAAATTCATCTCCAAAATGTGATTTGTTTTCTGGAAGATGGATTTTTGATAATGTGTCATATCCTTTGTACAAAGAAAAACAATGTTCTTTCATGCCTGACGATTTTGCTTGCCACAAATTTGGAAGAAAAGACTCAAAATATCATTATTGGAGATGGCAACCTTATCATTGTGATCTTCCAAGGTAACAAAAAAAAAAAAAACTCTCCTTGATTTCCTCTTTTCTTGTTTTGTTGAATTTCATTCTCGGAAATAGTCTTTCTACCCCTACCCTTCCTAGACTCCACTTATGGGAACGTACTGAGTATGCTACCTACCAAGGTAGGGGTAAGGTGTCCGTATATTCTACACTCCCCAGATTCAACTTGTGGGGCTATGTTGTTGTTTGTTAGTTGAATTTTATTTTAAAATATGTGTGTTGTAAGAGTGTAGGTTTAATGCCAAGGGATTGTTGGAGAAGCTTAAAGGGAAGAGGGTGTTGTTTGTTGGGGATTCATTGAACAAGAATCAATGGGCTTCTATGGTATGCTTGATTGAATCCTCTGGAATTCCATCTCTCAACCCACCTATTTGGAAAGGCAACTTAATCACCTTTGAGGTCAAGGTAATTACACTATATTTTTTTTTCGTTTGCTCGAATTTAAATCATGGTCTCTCATGATTTTTATCTCACTTTATTTACCGCTAGGCCATACCTTGGACTCACAAAACAATTAGCCTTTTCATCAGACCTTGCACATGAAAATTGTGCACTTTGAAAGAAGACAAACCAAGTAAATCCACAAAATTTGTCAACATCACTAATTCAAATGGCAAATAATGTATTCCATTGTATGTGTCTGTTATTAGAGTTTGTTAGAGATGCCTAAAATTGCATGATTGTTAGGTGATTAATCAATTCAAATAAGATAAAATATTATTCCCAAAGAAAAATTCTTGCAATTTGTTGTATAAAGTATAAACCAAGAAAGTGACATTTATGATGCGACAATAAGAGGTAAATCATGAGAACTAACATGGGTTGTAGTGCAGTGGTGGGATTGCTTCAACTTTAACCAGAGGTCTCGAGTTCGAGCCCCCTATAGAGAAAATCCTGTTCAGAGCACATAAATTGGGTCGGAGAGACTAGTTAATATATCAACTAGTTAAGAGTTTCTACTTTCAAGAGAAGTTTTGCTTCTATTGTGTGGTTAAAGTTTTTGATTTTCTAATATGATATAGGAATACAATGCAACAATTGATTTCTATTGGTCACCATTGCTAGTAGAATCCAATTGTGATGATCCGGTGGAGCATCGTGTCCGCGATCGAATTATCAGAGTTGAGGCCATTGAAAAACATGCTAGGCATTGGATTGATGCAGACATTCTCATCTTTGATTCCTTCACTTGGTGGCTTGAATCACATATGACACTTCAGTAAGCCTGTTTTGCTTCACACCAAAATAAGTACTCCTTTCACATTTTACACAAACATTTCATATTTGGAATTAAGTTATATACACTGACAATGTAAAGACAATCTCGTAGTTATAAGTAACATGATGATTGTTGTCTCATAGTTTCATGCCAACTTTACACAGATGGGGATCGTTTAACAGCTCCGATGCAATACACAAGAAGGTTGAAATGAAGCTACGGCGTTATGAGATGGCCTTAAGAACATGGTCAGATTGGTTGGAGTTTCAAATTGAAAGAAAAAGGACTAAATTGTTCTTCATGAGCCTCTCGTCTTCTCATAAAAAGTACGATCATGACTAAATTGTTTGTCCGTTGTTGCACAAACAACGAAAGAATTAATCCTTTTTGTTGTTACATGCAGTGGTACAGATTGGGGCAGGGGAAATGATCAAAATTGCTATGGCGAAACAGAACCAATATCAAGAAGAGAGTATTGGGGTAACGAAAGTGATATAAATATGATGCAAATAGCAGAGGCCTCTGTAAATGAGCTGAAGAGAAAGGGATTAGACATACAATATCTCAACATAACACAACTCTCCGAGTATAGAAAAGACGGACACCCATCCGTTTACAAGAGGAATTGGGTTGCTCCAACAAAAGAACAACTGTTAAATCCAAGAAAAAATTCAGACTGTGTACATTGGTGCCTTCCTGGTGTGCCTGATGTTTGGAATCAGATTCTTCATGCCTACATAATGGATTCGTCAAGAGAATTAAACGAATAGAGATATATACTAGTGCACTCACTGTGATACAAAGTATACATAACGAATTATATTCAATTGGAGATATATAGTACAAGTCAAAGACAGTGAGTGTGACAGGACTCTCTGTAACTGATCCTTCAACTATATATCCATCTTAAAAGCATGTGATTTTTGTTGTTCATATATATAGTCAAAAAATTATTTGAAGGTCATGATGGTAACCAATTGCACAATGAAGAGAGTTTTCTTTATTTCTAGTTTCATTTGCTTAGTTATCCCCAAATTGTTGTGTTATTTTTATTCCACATTGAAGGTGAGATAAACAATCTTGGATAACTTGTTCCCAACCAAGCGAGCACTAATAGTAGCAATTTTGTTGGAATATTTGATAATCAATAGCACTAACCATATGGAGTATGGTCACACACCCCTGTGCTTTTGAAAATACATAGCATATTAATATTTCTTGAAAACTTGAGCAACCTAAGAACAATGAGAAAGAAGCAACAAAGGGGAAGTGAATTTGTATCAAATCCTTCAGAAAATCAAACCTACCAAACTTGATTTTTCTCGTCTTATATGTTTGAATCAAGCAATGTTTTAAAGATCGAGTTCAAACTAATAGCAAGAATTGAACAAATGAGAAAAATGACCAAATTCAAACAACCATCTAAATTCAGCAATTGCGAGTTCATAATGAGCTAATACAATTGCAAAGTTGAAAATATATAGGGCTGACTTGTATTCTCGAACATAAACACATACATTTGCTAACGAGAGGATTGTTTGAGTTTTCATTTGTCTACTAACTAGTAATAACAAGGTTATTGATGAATACAGCTGTGACAGTGAAACAATGTTTCATCTTAAAATTAGGAAAAATATCAAATACAACATAATGATGATAAATTTAGCTTATAATAATAGTTATATAGATACGCATATTATATTTGACATATTACTTCTTTAATCTCAAGTATATATTACATAGATAAACCGTATATTCAAATTGAAGTCATACTATATTTTCTTTGTCCTAAATAACTATTTTTTTTATGATAAAAATAGTTAAGAAGAGAGTGATAGAGTCAAATTGACATCAAAAGCAGATGACGTTAGCGACCCTTCTGGCCTACCTTTCTCGGTTTCCACATTGTTCATGTCAACCTCACACTTACAATAATACTCTCCATTTTTGATTTGATCTTCACATTTACAATAGTCTCCCTCTTTAGTTTGATCTTCCATAGAAACTTGAGCGGAGTCTACATCAATCAATCTTGGCAAGTCCTTCACCGGATCCTATAAGGTTTTTAATACAGAGTTGTCAAGATATTCTAACAACAAAATAAGTCTCATATAACAAACGACGAGACATGGTAGTGTTAAAGCTAGTCACTGCTAAGGAAGGTCAATATTGTTGCATATCATCTGGAAAAATTGGCAAACTATAGTTCGAATAGCCAAGTTTTCTACTCTTTTCAATATTTGTCTAATGTTGCAAAGAGCTCTTATCAACTAGACAAAAGCCAACTGCTATCTCCAACAAGGGAAACTTTTTTATTAGGATGTGAAAATGCCCTCAGAAGCTTACATACATGTTTGAGAATCCAAAAAATGTCAATCCTTCTAACATGATTTCTCTTATGGAAAAGGTAGAAGTAAAATCATGATGAATCACATTGACACCAAAAAAGTGAGAAGTATCAAACGTTTTCATTTTCAAATTATGCAAAACGTTGACGAACAAAGTGAAGAAACAATAGCAGAGTGTTCATCCTCACCTTCCCCTTAATGGTGCCATCTTCTTCAACATGCCATCCAGCTTCCTTACATAGAGCCATGAGAAGATCATTGGTGTCTGCATGCTTAGGAAGTTTGTAGTTTCCATGAGCTCGTAGTCCAGCAAAGATTTTGTGAGCTACTCTTCGACGATTTTTCTCCCTTTGCTTATTTTTCTGTCGCTCCCTATCAGATGGATAACGGAACCTAGTCACAACACTGCCATCTTTCGCGGTTCTGTGAACCAACCAAGGCCCTCTGCTCGTTTTGATGCATCCTCTAACACCACTAATTTTCTTATCTTCCCCCATAGTTATGAGTTATGCTTCCACTTTTAGTTTATTCAATTTTTTTGTGGTTATTTTCTATAGTTTTAGCTAGAGTAGGTATTTATAGTAGAAAATAGACAGCATATAGACAAATTATGAGTACAACAAATTAAAGTGGACAGAATATATTCCTCCAGTTTGTTGTGAGTACTATGTTAAGTACTTAAGTCCTTTTCTTTTTTTATTTTCAAAATATTTTATACAAAACATTAATGTATGAGCAAATGAGATATATTACTTAGGTGAGTTTATTTATTCAAAGGGAAAAAACATAAAGTGACACCTGAAGTTGTTCCGAATTTTTAAAAATATCTAAATTATGCAAGTGTTTTATTACCCCCTAAACAATTTTAAACTGATATTATTACATCATTTATTGTCCACCTGACATAGAGAGTGTATGCACTCTCTTAAAGAGCGTGAACAAACAAAAAAAATAAATATAATTTTATTTTTGCAAGTATTTTGCTATAAAATACAGTTTCTTGTTTTTTTTTTAATTGTTTTAACTTTTTCTCCTTATTATTTTTTCTTTTTCTTTTTTCCTTCATCTTCAAAAAATCATTTTCATCTTAATTGAAGATCCTCACTTTAAATGTCAATTTTTATCACAATTTCTTCTTCCTTTTTTACCACTGTTAGCTTAATTATCTCTTTAACTAAAACTATAACTAAACGTTATATGACATTCGAACAATTTGATAAGCACATTAGATTTCAAGATGATTAATAGGGGTATTATTTAGTTATTTTAATTCAAATTTCAATTAAACTTTTTCATTTTTCGGAGAATTATGATTATTTCAAAATTATCATTTCTAGTTTTGAAATTATATGAAAATGAGCTAAATTAATGAGATGATTAGGGAGTATCATATAGTTTTTGTTTTATCCGATTTTAATTAAGTTCTTTCAATTTTCAAAAATTAATTTATTCTTTTAAAATTATGATTCTAATTTTGGAATTATATGAAAATGAATAGTTGATGATACTTTAAAATTTTAAATTATTTAGAAAAATAATTAATTTTGTCATCAATAATGTAGTAAAGTATAAAAATATTATGAATAAAATTTGACCAGAGAAGAAGAAGAAAAAAGAAAAGAAAAGAAAAGAAATGGGAGTGAGATTCAATTTGAGATGAGAAGTGGACGGTGAAGAAAAAAAATGGAGAAAGCCAGAAGATAAATGAAATTTAGAATAAATTAAAATTAAAATCCAAAAAGTAAGAGAGAGAAAAAAAATAAAGGAAAAACTTAAAATGAAAAAGAAAATACATTTTTAATTAAATTAACACGTGTCATGTATTGATTGGTGTGTGAATACACTTGCTTTTTAAATTTTGAGGTTGATCGAGAAATGGTATAATAATACCGGTTCATAATTGTTTAGTGGGATAATAGGACACATACAAAATTAAAGTGTCTTTTTAAAAATTCGAGACAACTTCAATGGTTGATTTATGTATTTTCTCTTAGTTAAAAGTTTTCAGGAATATTGACAAAGGTCCATTAGGTAAAATTACTGCTTCTAATTAAAAATACATGAAAATATTATTACAAAGCCAAAGACTAGCTCGTTTAAATCTCAAAAATTAAAAAGTGCTATACAAATTGAGATTAAAAAATAATTAGTTATAATAGAATACTACAAGTCGTAATATTAATTAATATCTAGAAAACATATTCAAAAATTACAATCAAATCAATTCGTTTGAATTCAAAAATTAAAATGTATTATATAAATTAGGAGGGAGGGAGTAATTAGTCAAGGTAGAGTACTCTTTTTAATAGTGAATCTACTGGAGACACGAAAAGCAAATAGTTGCATAATTGGATAAGAAAACAAAAAAAAAGATGGAAAATTAGCAGTGGAGATATTGCATGTAGATTTATGTTTTTTTTTTCGACGTTCAATATTTATATTGAAGTTCGGTTAAGTTTTTATTAGAAAATTCTATATTTTGAGGTGCTCTATAAGAAAAATGACTTAATATTAGGGAAACTCGAGAATAAAATAATTACTATTCTATCGCTTTTTCAGTCATATTCATTGTTGTCTAGACATTAATTCAGGTGAAAGTACAATATTTTTTCTGAAATTTTGATCTTCTGTTCCATTTTGTCCAAATGGTCACATATATATGGGGAATCAAAGAATAAATATAGTACACTATACAGCCTTCTTTTTGTCTTCTGATTTCCCATACAAAAAGTAATCTCTTTTAATCATAAAACTCCAAGCTTGGATCTTTATATACAACAGTAGTATATATTTTGAAATGTTATAAAAAAAATAAGCTTTTTACTTGATCTTTATTTGTTGGGAAAATTTCATATATGGTAAACTTATTTGATTAAATAACATTATATGGGTATAGCTTACCTAATTACATTCTATGGGTATAGTTTAGTTATTTAGGTATTTTTAATTGTGTATATAAGGTTTCTTTTGTTTTTTATTTATATAATTTTATTTTAAAAAGTGGTTTGTAACTGAAACGTTAAATATGCTAACAATAAATATAGATAATGTCATAATTTAAGGTAAACATCCTTTTTTTAAGGTAAACGTTCCAAAAAAATAAGAATTATACAGCAATTGAAACAAAAGATAAACTTGTTTTTGTTGTTTATGAAACATCAGTTCATCAATTTTTTTTATTTTTTCTTTGTAATCGAATTCAGGTAAGTGTTCATTGGATGAAAATTCATGTTTATTATTGCAATAATTATACAATGTTCTATAGGATTTACAAATTTGATTTATGTGCGTTCGTTATTGTGGTGTCGTAATTTTATTTTATTTTTTGAAAATTGGTTTTAAAATATGATTATTTTAAGCAGAAATTTCGTACTATACAATTATATACTTTTTGTTGATGTAGTATTTGTATACTATAAAGAAGATCAGTGTAAGCGAATACAAGTAATCGTTGGTGATAATTGTATATAGCCATAAAGCAAGTGTTATACTTTTGATACAATTATATACTTTTTTTGATGTAGTATTTGTATATTAAAAAGAATATCAGTGTAAAATCAATTCAGTAATTTGATTGTATAATAGTGTTGTATTAATTGTATATATGATCTCTTTGAATGATTTGAAATATATATATGTTTTTATAATTGAATAGATAATGGCTTCATTGGCTATTTTTGTTATGCATTCTGGTTAATATGTGTACATGAATATAGTAGTTAAATATGACAATATATACAACTGTCTAAATGACTTTGTATATACTCCAATAATATATAAACTTAATATATACTAACTTCAATAATTTTTATATAACTACTAAAATATTACAAATTACAATCATATATGAAATTTTCCCATCTGTATAACTAAATCCAATTACTTTGTGCATATATTTATACAAAAACAAAAATAATAATGAGCCTTTTATATACAATCCGCTACTACCACTATTAAAACTTAGTATATATGTATACTAAAACATTAAATTTTGAAAACAGTCATGGACAGATCAATTTTTGTATATGTATATAAACTTAATATATATTAACTTCAATAATTTGTATATAACTAATAAAATATACAAATTATAATCATATATGAAATTTTCCCATCTGTATAATTAAGTCCAATTACTTTTTGTATATTTATACAAAAACAAAAATAATAATGAGCCTTTAATATACAATCTGCTACTACCACTATTAAGACTTAGTATATTATTCATTATACATAACTTAAAGTACGTATAAAGTAATCAAATCCACAGACATATATACAAATATATAACTAAAACATGTGTGTATTAAACATGCAATATACTATATACAATTACGTGAATACAAAATTTACTTAAACAATAATTTTTTGTATATTGACATCTAAGTAACAACAAAATTGTATCTAAATTTGTGTTTTAAGCCATTACTTCATAATTATGATCTTCAGATCCGTCAACTTCACATGCATGTTCCTCTGACTCAATGTTTACTGCTTTCCTCTTTCTTCCTCCTTGTACAATTTTAATGCCTCTAGCTTTAGCATTGTTAATAACTTCTTGAACTGTCGTAGGGTCATATTTTTTCTTTGATTTCGATTCTTCCATTGTTTGTTCATGTTGAACTTGTTTTGATTTTACCATAGACCCTACATCAACCCCAAAATCTTGAGTTAAACCAATTGAAAACGATGGTAAATTGTCAACAAAATTGACATGCAATGGATCCTCATAGATGAAGATGATTCATTCATTCTGTGACTAATTTGAGATCTAATAAGAACAAACAATCGATTATTTCATCAAAAAATATATGAAAAAACATAAGAAACACAATAAATATACAATTGTTGAATAAGGGAAAAAAAGAAGGAAAACGACTAAAATTTAGGACGAAAATTGAATTCAACTTTGGGAGGGAGTAATTGAATTTTGGACAATTTGAAATTCAAATCGGATATAAGTATTAATTGCGGGAGAAAAAGGTGGAATGTGAATAGGAGAGATAATATTATTTTGTGTAAAATTATATACAAAATTAAAAAAAAGTTTTTATACTATTGGTTATATAATAGGTGGTGGACCCCATTAATTATAGCAAAAAAAAATAAACTATAATTATAAAAAGTAAACAAATTAAACTATACCCCTATTATATAATTACTTAGGAATGTTTGTCATTCCATATAATTTTTCCTTATTTGTTTATAATCAATTCATGTAACAAGCCCAATTGAGTTATCACGTGACAACTCGATCGATCACATTTTTGCTACAACACATTCAACTGAGTATAATTCGTACTCCCTTCGGCCTTTCAATATTGAGATCTCGATTAATTCGAATGATTTATTTCAGAAATCTCTGATCAAATTTGAAGAAATTATATTATTCCATCACGAACCAGGATGGTAGTATATATCATAGTCAAAAATGACTTAACTAGTGCATATGTACTCTTGTTAACAAAAAATATTTTTTTATATATATGTATTAAATATTGTATTTCTTTCGACTATTTATCTTGATTATTAGTGCTTATTAATAGTAAAATGAAGAATACAATGAGATTT